TCTGTTGGTTAATAAAAGGAGTACCTGCTACTGCATCAAACACCTAAATCCACCATACTGCGAACTGATGCCTTGTTTCAAACTTATATTCACATTCTGAGATTTAAAATATTCTGCAGCCCTGCTTAGTTGCCTTTGTATCATGCCAAAACGTCTCAATCCTGCACTTTACTATTAAACCATGGAGTAAAGGACAGCAACTCTGTCCAGGCAATCCTGACCACCGTCCACCAAGATTTTTTAAGGTAATGTGGCAATTTAGGGACACTTTCAACTTAGACATTATTCCCAGTCAAGTGTTATATACTGGATGCTTTGTCCAGTCACCAATCCCAAGGATATCTCATCCAAATGAGCTGCCAAATACCATCAATATAATCCTCATTCAAATTTCTCCCAACTACCATTTTTAAGCCCCAAGTTTCCCAACCAATCTATATTAAACAAGTGCATGCTACTACAAGGTACTTTAGGAGATCAAGATATTTTCAGTTTCTTTCAATTTAATGAGGGAGGCAGTTACCAGTACCATAGCTGAAATAAGGGGAAAAGTTATAGATCCATTTGATGTGGAAATATGGAAAAGTTTCATGGTGTATATCAATACTGGCTAAAAACTGACTTCTGTCCTTCCTGCGGGTATTTCCACTTGTCCAAAAACTTTTCATAGGCTAGGTTCCAGCACTCCATCACTGTAAACCTTCCAAGATACTCCTTTCCACCGTCCCCAACTAAAGCTTACTTGTAACCTTCTCCCCAACATTTAAGGTCTTATATTAAGATACATCCTATCCTCATCAAAACCCTCTTGTCTAAATCTCTGTAATTGCCATATTCTCTGGGCTCCTGTATACTCTGAAAATGTCTGATAACCACCACCATTTAAGCACTTCGCAACTGAATTCAGGGCAAAGAATTTTTTAAGCCGTGTTAACAAAAATACAAGGGAACAAATCCACACTTTTATTTATTTACTTTTCAGTAAGTTTAAATCCTTGAAGGGTACAGCATCTGGTGGGGGGGGGAAAGAACATAATGTCATTAAGTGCATATTATATACAAACAGTTATTGAATACCACAACATGAATAAATCTCCCATTGTCCCATTACCCATCTCTGAAAGGCACCCAATGACTTATATCCTAGTGGGAAGGGAACTAAATTTTTAGAGCCTTCAGTTTCTAGGTGAACATTCTCTGACTAAGAACCAGTACTGGGAACCTGAGAGTCCATTTAATTTTGCTTCCTCTAACGATAGTAAAAACCTCCTCTGATGAGAAATTTCAACTGCTCAGCAGGGTTCACAAGTACCCTGTGACCCCAAGGATGTAGCCATGTCTATTAAAAATAGATCCTAGGGCTTCCCTGGTGGCGCAGTGGTTGAGAGTCCGCCTGCCAATGCAGGGTACACGGGTTCGTGCCCCGGTCCGGGAAGATCCCACATGCCGCGGAGCGGCTGGGTCTGTGAGCCATGGCTGCTGAGCCTGCGCGTCCGGAGCCTGTGCTCCGCAGCGGGAGAGGCCGTAACAGTGAGAGGCCCACGTACCGCAAAATAAAATTAAATTAAATTAAATTAAATTTAAAAAAAAATAGATCCTAACTAAAGAAAACAGAAGCTATCCTATTAAAAATATCACAGAATCTAGAGTTGAAGTCCTGGGACATGAGCATTAGTTTTCCTCTATAAAATAAAACTAATACCTATTTGAACAAGACTGTCATGATGAAGAGATCGGAAATATTAATTATGCCAGGAAAAGGTATGTTGAATTTTTGTTTTCTAGCAATTACTTCAGAGCCCAATAAATATATTTGCCAGAAAATTGTTCATTTAAATAGGTGACCCTCGAACAACACAAGTTTGAACTGTGTGGGTCCACTTATACACAGATTTTTTTTCAGTAAATACATACTGCACAATCTGCAGTTGACTGAATCCACAGATGCAGAGGCCAACTGTAAAGTTATATGTGGATTTCTCACAGTGCCCCTAACCTCTGCGTTGTTCAAGGGTCAACTGTGCTATTCCCAACCACCCCCAGGCAGCTTTAGCAGTTACCTGAAATCTAGGCACAATCCATTTGAACCCTTTGCCTTCATTTTTCTTGTAATGCCAAGAAAATGTTCCATAATACATTTACACAGTAGCCCCTAATTTTACAGCACGATCTATTGGTGACATTTTATAATCACAATAGTCCTTAGTAGTCAAAGCCAAACATCGTGAGCTTAGTTTGATTCAAAAGGTGCCACATTGCTAATAATGTACTTACCACACGGATTCTGTGTCCAATGGCCTTAGCAGGAAGGTTGCTTCGGAATTTGGCACGAACCATGCCACTGTTTCCATGAGCACGAGTTATCTTTCCCCAGATTACTCTGGTTTTGTTAGGTTTTCCACCAGGAGTTACTGTGTTGCTGATTTTAAAAGAGGATTAAAAAAGGCATGAGAACCCAGACAACCAGTATAGTGTGGTACAAAATCAAGGTGACTTCTAGACCAGTCGCCCTCAACCCTAGCTTAAACCATAATAGCTGTAATATGGGGAGGGGGCAGGGAAGGGGGGGGGGACAAGAAATGTGAGGATATTTAGAGTGTAGGGAGAGAGGAACTTGTTTGTAATTTTAAATAGCCAGGGAAGGCCTTACTAAGAAGCTAACACCAGAAAAAAGACTCGAAGGTAAGGGAACAGCTTGTGTTAAAAACTGAGGTTGTGTCCCTGGCTTGTGCAAAGGCAAACGATGCCAAGAGATGAATCCTAGCTGGGTTAAGAGAGGACAGAGGGAGCCCTGAATGCATACGGTCTTAGAAGCTCCTTAATGACTTTAGCTTTTACTAAATGAGACAGGGAAAAGTTGGAATTTGAGCAATGTACAGATGATTTGACTTATAATTTTAAAGGACTGGGAAATCCCTGGTGGTCCAGTGATTAAGACTCCACGCTTTCACTGCCAAGGGCCCGGGTTCAATCCCTGGTCAGGGAACTAAGATCCTGCAAACCACGCGTGGCAAAAAAAATTTAAAGGATCACTCTGGTTGCAGGAGGAAAGGGGGGGTGGGGGAGATGAAAACATGTTCCCAAAGATCTTTTTACAAACCATTTAAATACACAATAGTCCACCCATTCCTTCCACCCCCGCCCCCACCTCTATCCCAGAGATTTTAATTGATCTGGAATGGGTTTAAGAACCAATGCTCTAGAGATAACATCTTTAAACATCTATAAAAATTGTAACTTCAAGAGATCAACAAAATGAATTAAGCGATATGAAAAATGCTCTATAAAACCTTAAGATCATAATACAAGGACCTGACGCCTTCCTTAAAACAACAGCTGTAATTCTCTTAGTGCAGAAGACACCTATATCCAACACTAATCATGAATTTCCTTCAACTCCCAAAGTAGAAACCACAACAGTACCATTTACTTAACTAACTTCAAATGAAACAAATCAAGTGAAAACTCAAAAAGCACAATACTATCAACTTACTTCTTTGCTTTGTACACGTAAGCACATCTCTTGCCTAAATAGAATTCAGTTTCATCTCGAGCATATACACCTTCAATTTTCAGGAGAGCCGTTCGAAAAGGCACCTCAGTTTTGGTTCCCTGGTATTGATGTTGGCCATTCCAGACGCTTTCCTGACACTCTCCAGACACTCTCCACACTTGGAGAGTCAGTGGCTTTAACCTCCTTGTGTGCTCCCTCTGGTTCCGTAGACCCCGCTTATAGCCAGCAAAAATGGCCTTGGACCACAGCCTAAGACAAAATATACTGTTAATCATAAGCTGTTAAAAGATCTCACTTAACTTCAACAAACCACAGGTATGATTTGGCTTGTAATGACAACCACCTAGAAGTTACCTATATAGCAAACATCTAAAATTTTTCCCCACCAGTTTTAAACTCACATGTAGGATCACGCCTAATAAACAAACTACAAGTACAAAGCAATGATATTTAAAACGCATACCTTCCAGACATATTTGTCGTTTTAGAAGTCCTGTTCCCAGCAGGCCTTAAAACAAAAATAAATCAGTTTAAAATCTTGCAACGCGCGTTTCCCACCTAGTCTCCTCTGGAATAGCGCCCCAAACTCAGAGAATACCTGATAACTAAGAAATTCCAAAAGGAAAACAAAACCTAAAGTAGCAAGACAGTACACTACAGGAAGTAACTCCTAGAAACCCCAAAAGAAAGCCTTAAGAAAGTTCACGCCACGATCACGGGGGAAAAAAAGATCAAGGAGCCAGAGAAGCACGCAGAGAACAAGACTTTTAAACACTGAATAGGAAAGAAAAGCTAAGTTAGGACATAGTAAACAGGCAAAGCCAGGTTTGAGGTGGGAGTAAATGAACAAAGAACCCTGCCTCAAAGTGACACTGCTGCCAGACAAAATGCATCTATTTTATATTTTACTCCGCTAGGGACCACAAGCAACTCCAGTTACCGGAGCACCCATTCTCGGAGGTCAGGGGACCAGCACCATCAGTCCCGTATCTCCTCCATCCTGTCCTCCCTGTTGCTGAAATCCACAGAAATCATTAGCTGGTAGAGCCTCGGAGCAGCACCAGCATCTGATGAGAGGCCTATAGGTGAGCCGACCCCACTTATTTGCCCCCAAAGTTCAGCTGCGGAAACGCCACACACCTCCACAGGGTCCAAGATGGCTGAAAAAGAAACAGAAGGCCCCGCCGCGTGGCCTCGTGGGTAAACACCTCTCCACCCCGCCCCCCCATTTAGGTATCTTCCGCCACCGCCAAAAATATAAGCTTCAGAAATCGTCTTTTGACTGAAATAAGCCACGTTCAAGAGCACTCGTACAATTCTTTTCCTAAGTCCTTTTATCTTTGTAAACTGCAACATGTACTATATACTTTGGAACAGAGGAAGGCAAAACGGTAGCCAGCTAAAGGAGAAGACCAGGTCCTCCAAAGCTCTGCGTTGCCATAGAAACACCTTAGCTTGGTTCCGGCGGCGTCGGCTGCTGTAGCGGGAAAAGTGAAGCCCGACTGGAGGACTACCCCCGCCTCGAATACCCCAGATTTGATTCGCCAGCAAGGGGGTATCTTTCCTTCTTACCACATAGCAGTAGGGCGAACGGAAACTCTCGGACCTAGCCAGGAAGAGAAAGACTGCGAGCACAAAGGCAGGAGGAGAGAGCTCTTCCTTCTCTTTATCTTTTGTCCCCCACCACCCCCTTACTCCTTTCCTCCTTCTACTCCTTTATCTCTTTCCAGAAATGACTTAAGTTCTTACCGCCAATCTTCATTTTGACTCCGAGGGTGAAGAGCACTGTCCTGAAAAGGCTTTGTTGCCTTTTAAGGAAAAGTCATTCAGCTGCCAAACTTTCGCGGCGCGCCGCACCGTGGTCACGTGCCATAGGTCTTCAATAAATATTCGTAGACTAGAATGGGATAGCTTAGTGGACGTGAGAGATTTATCTTCCCTAACTATTGCACATTTATGTGTTGCCCTATGGATTCATTCCTTTTGTCAGCAGTTTGTTGAATGACTTGACTACCATGTACGAAATTTTGTTCTTGGCTCAGAGGAGGCTGCAGTAAACAGAACAACAGAAAGCTCTGCCCTCATGGAGCTTACATCCTAGTAGGCGGAGCAAGACAATGAGCGAGTAAAATATATGGCACATTAGAAGGTAATGTGAGAAAAAATTTTCTCTCTGGAGATTGGCTCCAGATGGGGCAAATGGCAGATACCTAGAAATATGCCACTGATTTAAGCTAGTACCTGATGGACCAGTGGTGAAGAGGTGAGGGGAAGAGTCGTTCAACTTGAAAGAATAGCATATGCAAAGACCCTGAGTTGGAAGGGAGCATGATTCCATAGGAGAAAGAAGCCCATTGAAGCTGGAGCCATGAGAGCAATAAAAGGGCAGTGCCAGATGGATCTGGAGAGGAACAGAGGAGCCCAGATCATGCAGGCCCTATGGTCCAAGTTAAGAATTTTACTTTTTTTCCCAAGTTAGTGAGAAACCATTGAAGGGTTCTAAGGAGAGACATGATGAGATTTTCAATTTTAAAAGATGAGTTCTTCATTTCAAAAAGATCACTTTTAATTTGGAAGCTGTGGGGCTTCCCTGGTGGTGCAGTGGTTAAGATCGGCCTGCCAATGCAGGGGACACGGGTTCGAGCCCTGGTCTGGGAAGATCCCACATGCCGCAGAGCAACTAAGCCCGTGTGCCGCAACTACTGAGCCCGTGCACCACAACAACTGAAGCCTGCGCGCCTAGAGCCCATGCTCTGCAACAAGAGAAGCCACTGCAATGAGAAGCCCGCGCACTGCAACGAAAACTAGCCCCTGCTCTCTGCAACTAGAGAAAGACCCAATGCAGCCAAAAATAGTTAATTAATTTTAAAAATTTTGGAAGCTGTTAGAGTAGTTCAGGCAAGAAACAACAGCTAGATTCAGCATGGTGTTGGGGGAGATGGAAATTGAAGGTAAAATCCACAGGACCTCATGGTGGTTTGAATTGGGGGAATGCTGATGTCAGGATGACAGGAAGGAAGCAGAAATGACTCCTGAGATTCTACTATTGAGGAATTAGAAGCCATAACAGAACGAAAGCACTGGATTCTACATAAGCATAGTCCCTATGTGAGGCACACTTACCTATGCCCCAGACCTAAAAAATGGAAAAATAAAGAAACAACAACACAGCAAAAAAACAAAATCTTAACACCATGCTACTTCCTCCTAAGACTGCCCTTGAACCAGAAAATTTGGCTAGTTTGGAGTATGTTTTTTTCAGTTTACATAAAGATTCTTTAATTTTTGCATATAAGATGCTTTTTGCATGAGACATACTTGTAACTGCCCTCCTCAGGATCACTTTACTGTGGACAAAATCACACTGTGGAAACTTACCATTCATTATTCATTCAGTATAGAGCAAGAATCTCCATAGGGTGTTCTCATTGTAAAGCTTATTTAAGCAGAAAGGACTTTGGTTTACTGAGGAAGGGTAACATCTTAACAGCAGTGTTAAACTGATTTTCAGGATAAATATAGTTTTTCTAAGTGCAATCTCAGTTGTTTTTCTAAGTCTGGGTGCAATAAATTCTGTTAATCTGGCAGATCAGGGAAATGGAGGCATCAAATTAAATATTTTAGTAATCAGAATAACAGAAAAGTAAATCTGTTATATAGAGATTACCAATTAATACTCAGAATATAATTTAAAAACATACAAAAGCCATGTTGGACACTAATTTACCTTAAGAAACTCGAAGATTATATTTATCTGCCAATAATTAAGCTGACTACTTAATACACCTGTGCCACACGGTGGCAGTGGTTCTTCCATCTCCAGGACCACTCTGCTAAGCCAAAGGGGGGGATAAGCCACAGTGCTTGTAATTCTTTTTCTCTTAATGGAAGAGTATAGAAATAACTTAAATGTCATTCAACATTCCCTTAAACTAATCTCAATGTTTTCTTCCCACTTTAGGTGACTGCATTTTTGTGAGATTATAAATGTACCAAGGAGGTTAACAAAACTAACTCAAGAAGAATGGAAGAGTATGTTCCAAATTCCAATTTATTATATATTCATATGTATATATATAATATATATATATATATGAAATGCATTATGTTAAATTTCCGTGTATTGTTTACCTATGGCTGTGTAACAAATTACCCCAAAACTTAGTGATTTAAAATATAAACATTTATTATTTCACACAATTTCTGTGGGTCAGGAATTTAGGCATAGCTTGGTTGGATGGTTTAAGAATTTGGGAGCAGCTTAACTGTATGGTTCTGTCTGGGAATTTCTCATAAGTCAAAGTTGGCCAGGGCTGCAATCATCTGAAGAGTTGACTGGGGCTAGAGGATCCACTTCCAAGATGGCTCATTTACAGAGCTGGCAAATTGATGCCGGCTGTTGGCAAGAGGCCTTAGTTCCTCACCCTCATGAACCTTTTCACAGGGCTCCTTAAGTGTCCTTGTGACAAGGCATCTGGATTCCCATAGAGTGAGAGATATGAGAGAATAATGGAGACGCTTTAATGTCTCAAATTCACCTAGCCTTGGAAACCACAATATTCTTTTGGTTACATAGGTTAGTCCTATTCAATGTGGGGAAGACTACCAAAGGGCAAGAGTACAAGAAGGTGAGAATCATATGATCCATCTTGGAGACTGGCTACTACATTCTATTTTTCACTAACCATGAGACACTTCTGGCTGGCATCTAAAGATGTTGCTAGAAAAAACTTTATTTTAGCCCAAGTTCAAATTGGTTAAGCATAGCCAAATAGCCCAGGCTACATATCTTTATTAACCAGTAAGTTGCTTTTCTTTGGAAGGTCAGAATGTTACTGGGAGGTATTTAGCAGAATCATCTGCAAACTACTTTTGTTCATTATCTTGGTTATATTATATGACAAAATGGACTTTGTAGGAGCCAATCTACATGCTGCTGCTTCTGAGTTTAAGTAATTTTTAAACATTTGGTGCCTGACTTATTTTTTCCTTCATTCTTAGAGGTCAGCTGGAAGCCTCAAATCTTCCTCCAAAAATTTGGCATTCTGAGGTGACAGTGTCAGTGACAGGTGAACCACCTACTGCTGTAGAAGAAAATGAAGAAACAGCCATAGAAATCATCCCAGAAGTCACAGAGCCACTCTCCTTTCTAGATGTACTGAGGATCTCTGCAGTTCTGGAGGACACCACAGACCAGCTCTCTATTCTAAACTATATCATGCCAGTTCAGTATGAAAAAAGAAAAAGTATCAGCATGGTATATATATTCAGCATTACTTAATTTTTGCTTTCTTTTCTTTTTATTTCTCCATCATTGTCAGTACCTATGCCATTCAATTTAACTTGGGAAATAGCACCTTCATATCAGATAAAGGGCTACAATAATTATCTGAGATATGTACTCTCAGTTAATGGAGTGAAATAGACATAGCTCAAGGTACATTACCAATCAGAATATCCTTTTCTTCCAATATATTGGCATTATTCTAAAAGGCCTATAGATAAATCAGTATAAATACAATATATATACTGAGGAGATGGAACAAGTAATTGTGTTGTCTTACCTATCTTGTATTTCTCAGCTGCTAAAAGCTAACTGAACACTAAAGGGAGGAAATTCAACTGGACCCTGTCAATATTGCTTTCATCTAAAATGACTTTGTTATTGCTAAATATCTTGCAATCTGCCTTTTTAAATATCCAGCCACATCACTGTGTCAGCCATTACATTTTCAATGATGTTATGGACTCCTCCTCAAAGGACCACTGAGTTATCAAAAAACTCAGCTTGGTAGTGAGCAAAATCTTTATGAATTCTTAAGCTCTTATAAGTTTTAATAACTTGGGTTGTAGATATAAAATAGAAACAATTTATAAATACAAAAACATATTTATTACGTTTAACAAAATTACATTATATAATTTGTACAGAATATATTCTTATTTCTGATTCTATGATAAATGAAAATTGCTATAAAAATGAGAGGGTAAATTGATTTTCATGTCTAACAGAAAAGAAGTCCATATGTATTGTGACTAGAAAATTAAATTTCCCTTTAATTGCCCCTTACAATTTTAAATTGATTTTATTTTTATTTATTTTTGGCTGTATTGGGTCTTTGTTGCTGCGCTCAGGCTTTCTCTAGTTGCGGCAACCAGTGGCTACTCTTCGTTGTAGTGCATGGGCTTTTCATTGTGGTGGCTTCTCTTGTTGTGGAGCATGGGCTCCAGGCGTGCGTGCTTCAGTAGTTGTGGCACGCGGGCTCAGTAGTTGTGGCTTGCGGGCTCTAGAGTGCAGGCTTAGCAGTTGTGGCGCACAGGCTTAGCTGCTCCCTGGCATGTGGGATCTTCCTGGACCAGGGCTCAAACCTGTGTCCCCTGCATTGGCCGGCGGATTCTTAACCACTGTGCCAGCAGGGAAGCCCGGCCCTTACGATTTTAAAGTTATTATTATTATTATATGTATAACCTGAGTTTATACAGCTTTTATTAAAGTTTTAAAAGTTTATACAAAATTTTAATAGAACACTGGATTTGGAGTTGGGGACCTTTATGGTTTAGTTGTGTGCTATGGGCAATTCATTTCGCTTTCTTGGTCTTAGTTTTCTCATTTGTAAATTGTGATAGAGTTTTTTTTTTAATTTTATTTATTTTTTGTATGTGTTGGATCTTCGTTGCTGTGAGTGGGCTTTCTCTAGTTGTAGCCAGCAGCAAGCAGGGACTATTTTTTGTTCCAGTGCATGGGCTTCTCATTGTAGTGGCTTCTTTTGTGGAGCACAGGCTCTAGGCATGCGAGCTTCAGTAGTGTGATGGAGTTTTAACTAAATGATCCCTTCTAATACTAACATTCTATGAGTTTTGAGGTACTTTTAAGACATTAATGGGTATTATAGGAATTAGTTTCCTTATTAACTTATGAAAAGCAAAGATATTGGAAACCCAAGAACTAAGCCTTTCAATGCTTTTAAAATGAGTCTAATTCTTAAATTAAACTGGTTAACAAATAGTACAAAAGAGACTACTACTGTTTCCTTTCTATTGTCTCCTTCAGTAAGAATCAAAAATAAAGAGGGAAGATATTCAGTTAACAAGATAAAGTTTTATCAATGATATTTACTGTCAGGCTTTAAAAAAGGGTAATTTTCCATCATAGAAACTCAAGAGAGAAGGAAAAACCCAAATTTACAAACAACATTCAGTAGTGGTCACCACTCCAGTAAATAAAAGAACAAAACTTTTGCAGTTTTATTCTGGTTTATGATCTTCACCCACAAAATTTTCTGACTTAACAGAGGCCCTGCTTATGATTTTATAGAAGTATAAAGAGTAACGGTTTGTACTCTTATTTTGATTAATAGCAGCTTAAAAGCCCCTTTCTCAATGTTAGTTCTATAACTTTTAAAAATTGTGACCCTTAAAATAATTTTTTGGTTTTTTACTTTATAGTACTATAGTTGTTCTAACTCATAAATTTTTACAGTACCATTGCCCTATAGGGCATAGGATATATAATTAAAAATCTTAGTATGAATGTGAATGCTTTCTTTCTCCAAAAGCTTCACATTGTTGAGCCTTACAATAACAACCCTGGGATGAAAGTTTAGTTAGCATTATCCCTCTTTTTTATAGCTAAAGATATTTCCAAAGAGTTTTTCATTCATCAGAATCATGGAATGGAATGATGAAAAATATACTAATGTACCAAGTTCTACCAGAAGTGGGAGTAATTGGTCCAAAGTTTGGAAAGAGCTCCCTTGCCCGGAATACTGTTTTTCTTATCTTTTCCCTTAGGATCTAATACCCTACTGTACAAGGAAGTGAATGGACCAGAATATTTAGCTAGTTCCTTTAAGTTCTCTTCTGAAAATTCATATTTATTTCTGGTAATCAGTACATCAAGCTGTTTAACACGTTTGCTTCCTTTTCCAGATGCCCAAGCACAAAGGTAGAGGAACAATGGTTAGGGTGATCAGAAAAAACAAACTTTCCAGGCCTTACATTTCCCATTCCCTCCCTAGACAAAATCTAGAGTAATAACCATCCACGTACTTAACGTTTTCCTTATGTACAGATAAGTTTCAGTTTAACTGTTGAAATTCTATGGCGTCTGTTCTCTTTGTAGTCAATCATATAAATTTTAATTTAAAGGAGTATTTTAAAATTTAATTCTTATTTAAGGCAGCATTTTGTTTTTTACTTGCTTACAAATGTTTTCCTCAGATCTGAATCTTTGCTTATGGTTGATATAAGGAAAAATGCTGTTGAGTCTGTGTTTATTAACTTTTATGGATAGTTTTTTTTTTTTTTTACATTTCTGGTCTAATTGAAGTTTAGCTAAGGAAGACCTAGGCTTTTTGGGGGGGGTGGGGTGCTGTTCTAGAATGGCATCAGAGGGGATGACTTGGCAATCTCCCACTTGGTTTCTCTTCTTGCAGCCCAGGCTTGTCCTCACGACAGAGGCAACGTTCCATCAGGGAACTGAGGGCTAGGCTTGGAACCTGCTTGCCAGCACATCCAATGATTTCTAGTGGCCAAAGAGACACGTGGCCAAGCCATATCAAGGGGTCGCAGGCTCAGCAGCCATGGCTCACGGGCCCAGCTGCTCCGTGGCATGTGGGATCTTCCCGGACCGGGGCACAAACCCGTGTCCCCTGCATCAGCAGGCGGACTCTCAACCACTGCGCCACCAGGGAAGCCCAGACCTAGGCTTTTAAGTACCAATATGCATATGAAACTCTTCTGTGCATAGGATCAGCACAAGAATTTAAGTAATCATATCAAATGCTGAACTTGCATAGTTCTGTGTACTGTTCTAAATTCTTTCTTTCTTTTCTTTCTTTCTTTTCTTTTCTTTCTCTCCTCCCTCCCTCCCTCCCTCCCTTCCTTCCTTCCTTCCTTCCATCCTCATAATAACTACTGGAGGGCAAGTACTATTATTATCCCTATTTTATCAATGGGAAGATGGAGGTATAGAGATGTTAAATAGTTGCCTAAAGTCAATGTGGTTTATCTGTTTAAAGTAACAGATAGGGCCAGGATTTAAACAAGGAAGTCTGGTTTCAGAGTCCATATGCACAGCAAAATTGCTGTGTTATATGGCTTCCCATTGGCTCAAAATTTTAGCCACAGATTAAATAGGAATCATCAATTGAAAGACATATCCTGTTCCTATGGTAATGCTTACCCCTTAGTATTCAAGTTTGGGTTTGAAAATTCCCCACATGAACTTTGAAATCTATATCACACCACTAAATATACTATCAACTCCTACTCTTTGGTATGATTCTCCTTTCATTCCTCATACAGTGGGCCCTCCATATCCGCGGGTTCCACATCTGCGGATTCAAGCAACCATGGATCGAAAATATTCAGAAAAAAATTCCAGAAAGTTCCAAAAAGCAAACCTTGAATTTGCTGTGTGCTGGCAGCTATTTACATAGTATTTACATTGTATTAGTTATTATAAGTAACCTAGAGATGATTTAAAGCACATGAGAGGATGTGCATAGGTTATAAACAAACACTATGACATTTTATATAAGGGCCATCAGCATGTGTGGATTTTGGTCTCCTTGAGGGGCGGGGGGCATCTGTCCTCCACAGATACCAAGGGACAACTGTATTTAAAATTCATGTGTTCAGTGAACATTTGAGTCTTTACTGTACTGTAGACATTCTTCTAAACAATGGGATTATAAAGATGGCCACATTTATTTAATATCCAATCTTGTTCGAAAAAGAATTTGAGGTGCACCAAGATCTCTAAGACACTGTCCCTTCCCTCATAGAATTTACAATCTAATGGAGATATTTATACAAATAATTACAAATGGTAAATGTCTGCTAATAGAGATGTTTCACAGAGAACTTTACCTTTGGTCATAAAGTTTACCAGGTTGGGGAATGACAGACAGTGGGAACGTTGTATAAAGTCAGGAGGACACAAAACAGCAGAGCATGTAGTTTGATGTGGCTGAAGAAAAGGGTAATTTTCTGGTGGTAATATTATAAGAGGTTCAAAATGTAGGCAGAGGCCCTCATATAGCGTTGTTTCTTTATGTTTTAAAAATCTGTCTTAACGTGAAACATCATTTATTGCTTTTAGAAGAATAACAAAGAAATAAATTTAGAAGGAAAAAGCTTAGAAAAACTTTCACTGGTCTCAAAACCCTCAAAAATATCCGGTCCATTCGTGCATAAAGAAGAGCCCAAGTTACCAGAAATCAGACAAGGAGGCCAGTTTAACAAAGTGCAAGATCTTATCTTCAAAAAACCTACAAGGCAGATCATAATGAACACAGAGACACTGAAGAAAATTCAGATTGATAGGTAAGGAACGAGAGCATATTTGGAAATGTGATAATGTATTTCTAGATGGCTGAAGAGTGGGTCAGGGGTGGCTCACTGCTCTCTTCTTTTATGGGTTGGTCATTGTATCCGAGTGACTGCAGATAATAGGATTAGCCAAAGACTACTTAGGGCAAATGTGGTACAGTTGAAAGTATGGTGGCTGTATGGTTGGGCAAGTTATTGAGCCTTTGTTTACAGTTTTTAAAAATGAGAATAATGGGGCTTCCCTGGTGGCGCAGTGGTTAGGAATCTGCCTGCCAGTGCAGGGGACCTGGGTTCGAGCCCTGGTCTGGGAAGATCCCACATGCCACGGAGCAACTAAGCCCGCAAGCCACAACTACTGAGCCCGTGTGCCACAGCTGCTGAAGCCTGCGCTCCAAGAGCCCGTGCTTCACAACAAGAGAAGCCACTGCCATGAGAAGCCTTCTGGTGAGGGCCTAAAGCAGGGCTCAGCAAGTTTTTCTGTAAGGAGACAAATAGTAAATATTTTTGGTTTTGCAGGACATAAACTCTCTGTTGAAACCACTCAACTCTGCTGTTATCCCATGAAAGCAGCCATAGATGATATGTAAACAAACGGGCAACGCTGTATTCCAATAAAACTTATTTTCAAAAATAGACTACAGGCTGGATTTGGCTAATGGCTCTGGGTAATTGCTACAAACGCTTATTTACCAAAAATTCTTACCGTAAGGTTATACCCTCTTTTAACTTAACAGGCTTCTTTGTCAGTAAGCCAGTTGACAACAAAAAACTGAATAATGAGACAATGGAAATTGAGACTGCTTTTAAGAAACCCTCAGGATTAAAGCAGTTTAAAATTTGGCTACTTTGACAGTGTCTGTCTCTTACTAATGGATAAAGTACCACAATAGCTACCAATTTGTGTCAAGCATTTGGCTGAACCTTCCTGCTAATCCTTACATTAATGTTGCAAAGTTGCTATCATTATTCTCATTTATTTATTTACTTATTTTTGGCTGTGTTGGGTCTTTGTTGCTGCACACCGTAGCAAGGGCTACTCTTTGTTGCAGTGCATGGGCTTCTCATTGCGGTGGCTTCTCTTCTTGTGGAGCACAGGCTCTAGGTACACAGGCTTCAGTAGCTGTGGCACGTGGACTCAGTAGTTGTGGCTCGTGGGCTCTAGAGCGCAGGCTCAGTAGTTGTGGCACACGGGCTTAGTTGCTCTGCGGCATGTGGAATCTTCCCAGACCAGGGCTCAAACCCGTGTCCCCTGCATTGGCAGGCGGATTCTTAACCACCGTGCCACCAGGGAAGTCCCTGTTGTTTGTTTTTAAATAATGTGATGATCATACGGCTTTTTTCTCCTTTTGTCGTTATTAATGTGATGAATTGCATTAGTAGATTTTCTAATACAAAACTATTTTTGCATTCCAAGAATAATTCCATAACTTAGTTATGATGTTCCTTCTGGGTCTTAACTTGTGTGATTTCTGTAGCCCTTTGGGAATGCAGGGAAATATATCTTATTGATTCATCTTTTCTGTTTCTCCTTACAGGCAATTTTTCAGTGATGTAATTACAGAAACCATGCAGGAGTTGCAAGATTCTGGCACTTTCACCAATCTCCTGAAAGCTTTGGGCAAAGAGAGGGAAAACAAAATGCATTTCTATAATATCATTGCCAGGTCAGAGTAATTTTAGTTTTATTTGCTTTGCTGCATTTTAAAATTCTATAAAATTCTCACCAGAAGTCTTAGATTTCTAAAGCAAATCAAATTTTTGCTTTTGAATGAAGATAACTAGAAGTCAGAAATTTGGGTTTTATTCCTAGTTCTGCTGGGACAATAACTCAATTTCTGGGCTTCAGTTATCTGTGTCTACAATATATAAAGTACAATATATGTACTATAAATGGGTAGTGCATAATCTGTGGTTTGTTTTGGCCATGACAATCTCAAGATTCTAGTTAAGTTCGTGCTTTCTTTTTTTATAAATTAATTTATTTTAGTTATTTATTTTTGACTGTGTTGGGTCTTCATTGCTGCTCGCGGGCTTTCTCTAGTTGCATTGAGTAGGAGCTACTCTGCAGTGCACGGGAAATATATCTTATTGATTCATCTTTTCTGTTTCTCCTTACAGGCAATTTTTCAGTGATGTAATTACAGAAACCATGCAGGAGTTGCAAGATTCTGGCACTTTCACCAATCTCCTGAAAGCTTTGGGCAAAGAGAGGGAAAACAAAATGCATTTCTATAATATCATTGCCAGGTCAGAGTAATTTTAGTTTTATTTGCTTTGCTGCATTTTAAAATTCTATAAAATTCTCACCAGAAGTCTTAGATTTCTAAAGCAAATCAAATTTTTGCTTTTGAATGAAGATAACTAGAAGTCAGAAATTTGGGTTTTATTCCTAGTTCTGCTGGGACAATAACTCAATTTCTGGGCTTCAGTTATCTGTGTCTACAATATATAAAGTACAATATATGTACTATAAATGGGTAGTGCATAATCTGTGGTTTGTTTTGGCCATGACAATCTCAAGATTCTAGTTAAGTTCGTGCTTTCTTTTTTTATAAATTAATTTATTTTAGTTATTTATTTTTGACTGTGTTGGGTCTTCATTGCTGCTCGCGGGCTTTCTCTAGTTGCATTGAGTAGGAGCTACTCTTCATTGCAGTGCACGGGCTTCTCATTGCAGTGGCTTCTCTTGTTGCAGAGCATGGGCTCTAGAACGCAGGCTCAGTAGTTGTGGCACATAGGCTTAGTTACTCTGCGACATGTGGGATCTTCCTGGACCAGGGATTGAACCCATGTCCTCTGCATTGGCAGGCGGATTCTTAACCACTGTGCAACCAGAGAAGTGCAAGTTCATGCTTTCTAAAAATTCCTGAGTAGCAGTATTTCTCTAGCTGCAATTTAGTGATAAGTGTTTTTGTTGTTTTTGTTGCTATAGACTGAATGTTCTTGACCCCCACCTTAGTTTTTGGAAATCCTGACCCCTAATGTGATGGTATTAGGAGGTGGGACCTTTGGTAGGTGATTAGGTTGTGAGGGTGGAGCCTTCATCAATGGGATTAGTGCCCTTATAAAAGAGACCAAGCAGAGCTGCCTCTCCCCTTCTGTCATATATAGATACAAATGAAAATGGCCATTTGTGAACCAGGCAGCTGGTTCTCACCAGACACTGAATCTGATAGCACCTGTATCTTGGACTTAATAGCCTCCAGAACTGTGAGAAATCAATTTCTTTGTTTGTAAGCCACCCAATCTATGATATTTTTGTTATAGCAGCCCAAGCTAAGATAGGTATTGTTTTATTTTGTATTTTATTGTATTGTTCTGTTATTTTATTTTAAACCTAAATAATGGTATTGCTGGAGATAAGCAGAATTCCGTTTCTGAGAGCAAACAGAAACAACATAAAATAAATTCTCATTCAGACAGTACTGAGTTTGAATTCTGCTCTGCCATTTACTATTTGTGTGACCATGGCAAGTGTGTTAGTCTGTGTCTTCTGAGAGATAGATGCCAAGATGAGATTATTAATGTAAAGATTTTATCAGGGAAACACCTATGTGAGAGAAAATGAGGAGGGAGCCTTTGGATTCAATGCTGGACTCACCCTAAGTGAAGGAGACGAAGGTTGAGTGGAAGAGACTGCCCTGCAGTCTAAGAATGGTTTGGCAAGGTCATCAGGGAGCCCTTGAGCCAAAGTCAAGCATCAGAAAAGTCCTGGGTCTTCCAGGAAGGAATGGTCTTATCCCTGCCAGACTCAAAACTTGGCTGGGAGCAGTCAGTGGGAAGTGTGGCCTCAGAGCACACACAGTGAAGGAGTTCAGAGCCTAGAGCTGGGACCCTTACTTGCTTACATTGCCTGTACTTGGAGGTCGGTGAGGAACACTCTCATGTCCTCCACAGCAAGTTACCTCAGCATTCTACATGCATTTTCCTCATCTGTAAAACAGGGGTAATGATAAAGACTACCACATAAGGTTATTGAGAAGAGCTCAGAATAGAAAGGAGTCTTCTTTTTCCTCTTCCTCTTCCTCTGCTTCTTAGCCTTTTCTCAGCAACAACTATTTTAGATATAACACAGTCTTTTTTTAAAGTGTTACTGAAAGTTTGCTCCATGGACCAGCACCATTAGCATCACCTGGGAACTTGGTAGAGAAACAAATTCCAGGGCCCCCAACCCAGACCAAATGAATGAGAATCTCTGGGGTAGAGCCCAGGAATCTTTCTTAGCTTCTAGGCGAACCCTGTGCACACTAAAGTTTGAGAAGCACTACTCTAAACACAAATTATTCTTATTTCTCCTAGGGAGAAAAATGGAAGAAAAAAGATAAAATCTCTTCAAAAACAGCTACTTAATGTCAAAAGAGAAAGGCAAGCTGAAGTACAGGTAAGAACTACCTGGGCAACACTGAAAGTTACTGAGCTAAAACAGCTAAATAGAAGTCATCTTTCTCAAGCAAAAAAAAAAAAGAAGTTATGTATAGGAAATTGTTGTTTCTCCTGGGGTGCCTAAACTATTAAAAATATAAAGAGAGTAATTAGATGTTTGGCCTGCAATGTACAATTATGTCCAGAATCAACCTCTGGGAGACCCTAACCCTCTGGAGCTCTAAGCCTGTTCTTACCCCTCCCAACCGATCCAACCACATGACCCACTCCTTCCCTCCAGGAGACCATGTCTCAGGCAGTCTCTTGTATGCCAAGATCCCAGATGGGAGACTATAGTCCTAGGTAGGACATTAAGCACATTACATACCTCCTTACACCTGATGGTTAGGGTTAATAATGTCATTTGCATTATATTTCAAGTACAGAGTGGATTTATTGAGCTTCTGTGGTCATTAGGGCCTAACCTTATGTCTAATCTCTATAAGAAAATGCATCCTGAGTTTTAAGCAAGTGACTTGCAAAACAATGTTTGGGCTACAACCTAGACAGTTAGAAATTAGTACCATTAGGATGACTAACACTATTAGCAATTTAGAAAGTTACAAAGTATGGCCTAATATCAGCTTTTCACTGCCTAGCTAATTGGACAAGTTTATGCTTCCGATCAGGGAATCTTCATCATTCCCTACATAGAAGTTAGAATAATATTTGAAAAATGTATTCGGAAGAGTTGTCTAAAAAAGGTCACTAGCCTTTCTTCTGAGATACTATCTTTAGGTCTTCTGAACAAATCGTTTATTTGTTCTATTATCTCTCATTTTCTATTATCAATTTTGAACTACCTTTGGTATTGATTTTCACTTCATTATCCCTATTAACCCTCTGTTTATAGTCTACATTTTTAGAAAGCCATTTCTTTTTTTATTTTTATTTATTTATTTTTGGCTGCAAAAAAAAATTTATTTTTTTTTGCAGCACGAGGGATCTTTGTTGCAGTGCATGGGCTTCTCTCTAATTGTGGTATGCGGGTTTTCTCTTTCTAGTTGTGGGGTGAGGGCTCCAGAGTGCATGGGCTCTGTAGTTTGCAGCACGTGGGCTCTCTAGTTGTGGCACGCAGGCTCAGTAGTTGTGGCGCACGGGCTTAGTTGCCCTGCGGCATGTGACAACCCGCATCCTCTGCTTTGGAAGGTGGATTCTTTACCACTGGACCACTGGGGAAGTCCTCTGAAAACCATTTCTGTGCCACCCTCCCCCGCAAAGGCTTCATTAAAACTGGTGTGCATTTAGGTTTTCTCTCTAATGAATAGACTTTTGCAGAGGTTTCTTGGCCTTTTTTCCCTCAAAAGTTCTACCATTATTTAAAACTTCCTCTTTTATTTCTTAACTATTAAAAAATAAGATATTTGTATCAATGTCCTTTTAAGGCTCCAAACCAAATAGTATCAAAAGAGACCTGAGTGTTGGCACTCTGCCAATCAACTCCCCTTTGCTACTATCACAGCCACTGTTTTTCTCTTTCTTTAAACATTTTAAATTATATTGTTGGGGACTTCCCTGGTGGTCCAGTGGTTAAGACTTCCCCTGTGAATGCAGGGGGTGCAGGTTTGATCCCTGGTGGCGGAGCTAGGATCCCACATGCCTCGCAGCCAAAAAACCCAAAAAGCCATGAAACAGAAGCAATATTGTAACAAATTCAATAAAGATTTAAAAAAATCAATATATTGTTGACAGTATAATTTTCCAGACAACAGGTAGTACTAGGTTGTGAAACTTACCTTCTTGGATTACAGTCTCAGCTGTTACATTCAGACACAGTAAAACTAAAGTAGAATATCACTCAGATATTTTGATCATCAGAAAAGGAGTAGATAAACCAGAACTAGAAGATGCAAGGCAAACCTTGAATAAAAAACAGCTATCAAGTGCTTCCCTGGTGGCACAGTGGTTGAGAGTCCGCCTGCCGATGCAGGGGACACGGGTTCGTGCCCCGGTCCGGGGAGATCCCACATGCTGTGGAGCAGCTGGGCCCGTGAGCCATGGCCGCTGAGCCTGCGCATCCAGAGCCTGTGCTCCGCAACGGGAGAGACCACAACAGTGAGAGGCCCACGTACCACCAAAAAAAAAAAAAAAAAAAAGCTATCAAGATGAAATCAAGTTAAATCCCTAGAGTTACTAAAAAACCAGTGGTCAAGTCAAGGTTGGACAACAAGAAGACAGTTACGAGGTACATGGATATTAGAGACCTGTGGGTCAGAAAATGATGACAGTAATTAGGATGGCAGGTTTGAGTGTGTGAAAGTATGTGTGGAGATCACTGGAATGTGAGGGAGCAATTGCCTTATGAAGCTTCCTACTGGGTCCCCAGGCAAAATGACAAAGTCACAAAGGAAAAAAATCAGGTTGCTGTTAAACTTCTGAACATCAGCACACGAAGCCAGATAAGTGGAGCAGTGTTTTCATGAAACTAAAGGGGAAAAAAGAGAGACCCAAGGTCAATATATAAAAATTAATGTATCTTTTCCATATATCAGTAGCAGACTTAGAAAAAGAAATTGAAATATGTATATTTACAATATCATCAAAAATATCAAATATCTAGCAATGAATCCAGTGGCAACAACAAAATGTGCAGGACTTCTTTGCAGAAAACTATAAAACAGTATTGAAAAGTTAAATAATATTTAAATAATTGGAGGGATATACTATGTTTATGTTTATGGATTGGAAGACTCCATATTAAAAAGATGTGCATTCTTCCAAAATTGATTGATACATTGAATTCAATCCCAATCAGAATCTTGATTGGATTTAATTTAATTACTTATTTACTCATTTTTGGGAGACTTAACAAACTGATTCTAAAATTTATATTGAAATGCCAAGGACCAAAAATAGTCAAGACACCATTAAAGAGAACTTGCGGGACTTCCCTGGTGGCGCAGCAGCTAAGAGTCTGCCTGCTGGTGCGGGGGACGCTGGTCCAACCCCTGGGCCGGGAGGATCCCACATGCCGCGGAGCAACTGGGCCCATGCGCCACAACTACTGAGCCTGCACTCTACTGCCCACGTAACTCAACTACTGAAGCCCGCACGCCTAGAGCCCGTGCTCTGCAACAAGAGAAGCCACCGCAATGAGAAGCCCGCGCACCACAACCAAGAGTAGCCCCTGCTCGCCGCAACTAGAGAAAGCCTGCACGCAGCAATGAAGACCCAACGCAACTTAAAAAAATAAATAAATAAATAAATAAGTAAAAGAAAAAAGAAGTTATTATATTATGTGACTATTTAAAAGGTCATATAACATTTGTCTTCAATTACCCTGTGCTAAGTCAAAGGCATCTAGTTTTAACGCTATTGCCATGGGCCTCTGATTACTCTGGTTCTTCTCTGTATAGCTATTCTGCACAAACTTACGGCCTTCCACGTTGACCGTGTGGAAACAGAGGAGGATATAAAATGCTTACAGGCTATGATTGTAAAACCATGATTAAGTCATACTAATAAGTGAACCCAAGTGTCATGCCGTTTCTTCATCTTCCAATATGCAACAAAGATCCAGTGTAGAAATACTGAGTTATAGGCCAAGGATCTTCAGTTGTATGAATTCCTTTTAAGATTCTCACTAAGAGGAGATCTGCCTTCACCATAACCCATTATCATAACCCTGGTTGTCCATGGTGTCTACAGCTTTCTCCATGATCAATCATGGACTGATGCAGCATATTTGTGGGGTTTCGTAGCAGACGAAACTTTACTTCCAAATCCCCAAATGCCTTCAGATCTAGACTTCTGGACTTGTTATTTGAATTCAGAGAAGCTTTAGTAATGGAAAGAAGCTGTCAACCAATTAGAGTTAATAAGGCTCCGATGGCTGCCACAATATTGTGAGCAGAAGTCTTTTTTTTCCCCAGCCGCAATGTGGGGCTTGTGGGATCTTAGTTCCCCGACCAGGCATCATTGAACCCAGGCCCATGGCAGTTAAAGCACTGAGTCCTAACCACTGGACAGCCAGGGAATTCCCCCAGAGGCTTTTAATGGTAGTGTCTGTTTTCATAATTGAACACAAAGTAGGGAGGAGTACTGGTTCCTGAAATTTTAGGGAGCTGGAGAAGATGGAACTTGTCTTATACCTCAGGCTGCCTCTTTGGTTGGATGGAAAAAGGAAAATGGAAATGTGGTCTATTAAAGTGATAAAAGCCACAGGAAAAAAATAGAGTTCTGTATTAAATTAACATTTATATTTGCCTGTCCGTCTGTAACTAAGAATACTGGCTGATTCTATGAGAGTCTATGAATAAACTCTGAGCCAAATAGTCTCCTGTTCTAAAATGCAGATGAAGCATGATCAAGTCAGAACTTCTAAAGTTTCAGGCTCCAATTCCACCCACTGCTTTCATTTCCATTTGAACTATTACCTTTCCAATCACACCAATTTCCTCTTTTCTTTCCTTTTGTACTAAAATTTTCGCACACTTCACTGTCTTGGATAATCTCTTCTGAGTAAACTCCTTCTTAAATGTGATAACTATATACTCCAATAAAGATGTTAAAAAAAAATGTGATGCCTAAAACTGTACACACTATTATAGATGTCTAACCACAACAGAGGATAAGGGAGAATTTTTTCCCTGTTATATAAACAGTATACAGTGCCACAAATTGCAGTAATATAAACAAAGAGGAAGCACTCCAAATGCTTTTCACAAGATTGTATGGCAATATTCTTTCATAATTGTGAAGATTCTGATGACAAACCATTAGAAGAAGCACAGGGAAAGGAAGACTCTGAGAAATCTAAAGAATACAAGGGAAGGGAGGCACCTTTTTACAGTGCTGCTATGACAACAACCAGTGGTGGGGCCCTGACCTCTGTTTCTCATGTTAGAAGCTGGGTAAGCCTCTAATGAAAGTGTTGGAAGACAAGTTAGGTCTTCACAATTCTCAGCTTACAAGATTCTTCTAACCAAAATCAGGACTTTAGTTTCACCTTTGCTTCTT